TGCATGGAATTGTTCTCGATTCCCTCCTGCTGTTGTAGTTTATTGTCCCACAAAGAATGCACACTTTAGGTCAGAAGGAAAGTGAGTAAGAATAGGTGTCCATAATCCAGTGATGAATGTGGTGTCATGGGGATAGGGATACCTGTTTCTGTCCTGGGAGCTGTGACCAGAATGTTGAGCTGGTGTTTTGAAGACAGGGCTGTAATAGGAATTTCATGTACAGGCTGGTGCACAAGTGTTAAGGAAACGGGAGATTTGAGTGTACTTTTTCTTGTTTGGTCAGGTTAAAAGCAAAGCTGGTACAAAATACAGCTGTTTAGAGCTCTCCAGTTAGAGTATCTCTGCACTCACTGAGTACTTCTCAGCAATAACCTCATCTCAGTAATGGAAATGTGTAGAAATGACAGCAGATGATGGCAGTTTCTGGTCTGTCTTTTTGTTACAGTTACCTTAATAACATAGCTTGAATCCTAGAATATTATTTTGATTTTAGTTTAGAATATGATTTTGATTTTAAAATGGAGTTATAGCAGCTATGAGAATATAAAGCACACTAATGCCCTTAGGAATAGGTAGCTAGTGTGGCGTGTGCCTTGAACACTAGAAGAATCATTATGGACCCTGAATTAAAACAATGGGTACTGGTTATGGACCTTGAGTCAAAACAATAGGTACCAGAAGATACCGGGTTTTGTTGGGAAGATCAGCCAAAGAAGAAATGAGCATCGGCTAAAGATGAAACGCGCATGCGCAAGGATGGGGTTCAATCAGCAGACACAGTGAGGAAGACTATCCACGACGACCAGAGGATCCCCGTCCAACATAACCACGCGTGCGTTAGAGACATTTGCATATGATAATTATTTCCAGGAAATAGCATGAATATGCTAATCGTTACCCTCCCCTCATTCTGTTCAAATCAATCAGTAAAGATGACCAATGATTTCTGCAGAATAGGAGCATAGGTAAGGTGAGGTAACTGAAAGCCAATCATTATTAAGGTCAACTTAAACTTTATGAATTTTGTTGATCTTATGTAACCATGACTCTGCTGGCAAAGTGTATAAATATGTTGTGCTTTGTACCTGTCGGTGAACACGTCTTTGGTGGAGCTATCCCCCGTGTTCCCCAGCGCTGGAATAAAGAAGTGCCTGCTTATCTGCTTTGTGTAGATAAGTTCTATTCGCGATTGCAACTGCTAACATTTTGACTGCCAAATGTGTCAACAGCTAATGATAGTCAGATCTGATTTGTGAATTTATACAAGTTTTTGCAAAAAAAAAAATCCATTGAACCATACAGTCTGTCTTGAAATCTGTATGTAGCCAAAGGATTTTAAGTATTGATTCTCAGATTGTCTCTGAAAAATAGTAGAGCACGCAGAAATCTGCTGTTTGCAAACAAGAACTCAAATGTCTCTCCAGTAACCTAATTGATAGATTTTAATTAGAGTGATCTTTTACTTTAGTACAAGGTATTATCTTAAAGTGAGTTTCTTTAAATCATGTTGTCAAAAACATGACTCACACTATGCATCATATGCATCTTCAAAATGAGTCTTTTTAAACTGTATTACCTGTCACCTCCCCTCCCTACCTGGTATCTGCTTTCTGCTCTGAGAGGAATTTTTTATTTGCTGGATTGACACTGGGTATTAATGAGAGTGGTCAGTTTCAGAATATTTTCTAGGTAGCTGCTCTGGCATACAGAATAAAGTCTGTGTTAGAAATGGTACTTATGTTGAACAGAGAATGAGAGAAAACAAGAAGTCTCCCGTTTCAATAAAATACACTAGTATGAAGTCTAAATGTCTTGTGCAAAGCCTAAATAAAAGCTTTGGATGAATCCCTTGAAGAAAAGAACCCGCTAACTCTACCGTCAACTTGGACAGGGCGTTCTGCTGTTTTCCTACCTGAGAGGTCAGGTGTTCTAATGTTTTTCTCTGTGTTCCCAGCAGATCTGTGAACCACAGCTTCCCTTGACAGGGTGTAGGAACTGGATCATTCCCAACTGTATTAATACTTCAGAAGCTCACACTATAGCAGGTTATACTGACAGGGAGTAGGGAGAAGGCCACAGTTATTTTTCCCTAGTAAATCTGTCCCTTGATGCCCCTCCTGAGTCGAGAGCAATTTTCCTTCTGCTCATATAGTACAAGTTTTCTGTCTTGGTTAAATTGATTTTGATTTCTTTGTCCAGTTAAAACTTTGTACAGTCCTGTGTATATAGCTAAGATTCAGTAGATTATTGGCTATAGGGTACAAAAAAAACCCTCTGATTTTTTTTCCACGCTACTTTCCCCATCCCAGATCAGACTTACTTGTGTTCTTTTCTGTCTTATCTAGTTAAGGTTACAGAGGTAGCAGTGACCATGTCAACATGTTGCAGGCAGTGAATGTAAGAAATAGTGGGCTACATTAATAAAATAGTGTACATGATAGAAATTGTATTTTTTCTAAATAGATGCTTTTTTGATCTGCAGAAGGCAGTGTAAAGCAAGATGAAGGGCTGGAAGAAACTGTCTGTCATGGGGATAGCGGATAGCAAGTGAGGGATTGTAGCTAGGGAAACCAGTGTCCTTCCAGAATGACACAGGCTAAATGCTTTGTTAATCTGTAACCATGGTGCTTACAGTGCTTCTGAAAGAAACTTTTGGATGGTTTAATGAAAGCTTGGAATAGAAAGAATACAATTCAGGTAGGCTAAGAGCCCTAAAGAAAGGAGGTCAAAATAAGTTACTGCTGCAGAGGTAGTGGTACAAGTTCTAAAATTCAGATTTTGCATGCCTTAGATCACAATTTTGTGAGGCAGTAACTGCTACACAGCAAGCAGTATTGAAGATGACTTATGCCTCTTCCATCTGTCTTCTCTCTGATCAGACTTTACAGGTTTCTTCTTAAAGACAAGCATAGAACTACAACATACAGGAGCATCTTTACAGTTACTGCTGCATGTTTAACTGTGACAGTGTCAGTATGTTCATGTACGTATAACTCCTCCTGGAAGAGTCCTCTACAAAAATCTCACAGCTGTTTCTTTCTCCTAGAAAGAAACAAAGTCAGGTGTTGGTCTGTCCTGTATGTCCTGTCAGATTATGTCTTTCTGAAATATATCATATTTCAAAAATGTAGGAGTAAGTAGATTTCAAAAATGTATTAGTAAGTAGTAATAATTGGGGTAGTCTACTACAAGGTGGAGAAAAACTCTTTCTGCTACTTAATGTTGGAGGGTAGTTAAATAACTTCCCACCACAGGAGAAACAGTATGTGATTAGTGTGTGGGGTAGATGGAAGGTGGCAGAAGTGATCAACACTTCCTTGGGGTAGTTGATCATCCTGTAAGAACTTCCACCTGAAAGATGGGTCTGACAGGACAAGAGAAGTGCAGCAAGGAGCTGTAAACTTTCAGTGCAAGGAACAAGACTGTAAGAGACCACTGAGGGGAGCAGGGAGCAGATGCCTATGAGGCTCTAACTGAAAGAGGATATTCCCAAAAAGCTGAGATGACTGTGCTGACTTTACTGCTTATGGCTTTTATCATTGCAGTGTGTAACTAAACTTGGAGATGGGCAGCCCTCTCCAATCTTTCCCCCCACTTCTCACCCACAAACAACAGCCAGAAATACATTTGTCTGTAAGCCTTATCTATTCTGGTCATCTAACTAGTTTGGATTTTCTCTTTCAAACTCAAACTCTGTGATATTTTAATCAAATCTGGCTTTTCAATATAGAAGTGTTTTAATCACTCTGAGTTTGATGTAAGGAAAAGGTCTAGATTAGATGGATCTACTTAAGAGGCCTAGCTAACTTAAGGTCCTGTCACTCGTACTTAAACTTGTAAGTCAATTAGAAGTGAATAGGAAGAAAAGCTACATGTGAAAATTCCTTTTGTACTTAAAGCAGCTTGCAGCTCAACAGCAATACAGGAATCACTGTAATACAAGAGTTTACGCTGGAATGGCATTAACCAGTCTTATAGAAGTTTCAGTATAATCTAAGTGTGGAAAAAGGGCCCAAGGGGAGCATGTATGTCTTCCTAATATTGTTACCCTTCACTGACGTTATTGTTAACAGAAAAATAAGTAACGTGAGAAGAATTTCTCTTTGATTTTTCTTTTTTTTTTTTTTTTTTTTTTTTTTTAAATTTAACTCAGACATTCATGTGTTAGGTACTGTTAGAATTAGAAATACTTACGCCTTTTCTTGTAGTGAGATGATTACAGGCAACCTCAGTTTGGGCATTGGAGCACTTAGCTTTTTGCCTTTTCTAGCATTCTTAGCTTAATGTGCATGTCACTTTTTAACAGTTTTTAAAAGATAAACTAAAGAAAAAAGTCTGGAAGAGCTGCACTGACTGCATGGAACAGCAGCATAATTGGAACCATTAGCACTGAGCTCTGCTGCCTGGGTAAACTGTCAGGTATTATTCATTATAATCCAGCACAGTCAGCAGAAAGTGAAGGCAAGTGTTCTGCAGATACTTTTCCACAAAAACATGTGAAACTTGGTGATCTTGATTTCTATTCTAAAATATAGATGGAATGGGCCTCAACAGACATTGATTCTTTTGATTGCTTTCTTCCAAGTCTGATGTTTTTGTGTTACATGCAGGCTTTAGTCCAGGATCTTCCCTGCCCTTGACTGTCTTCCCTGTTCCTTCCCAGTCTTCACTCCTGAACTGAGCATTCAGCCTTCTTGCCCAGCAATTAGAATTATTCCCAGCTGACCTCTGGCTTCTCTTTCTCTGACTCTGCTGTAGAAAAATCCATCCTTTCTCCTGTATTTTGCCCAGATACTAATCAGATTTTAATACTGTGCACGATTCCACTGTTTCCCCTCCTCATTTGCAAAAGAGGAAAATAAAGAAACAACTGCAGCCGTCTCACCTAGGTGGTTTTCATCACCAGCTTGATTCTTACCTTTTTTTTTTTTTCCTCTTCCATTTTCTTTCCTGCACTTCATCTTCCTTTCAGCCTTGTCCAAATCTGTTTAATTATCAAGATGGATGACTCCCTGCCCAATTTGCTTAAAGCTCCTAGAAACCTTTTGATGTCCTCTTCACAGAAAGGTATTTGCAAATATCTTTGGTTTCTTACATTGAAGAGTGGAGAAGTAGTTGTAAGGCAGTTATGTCACAACAGGCTGGAAGGCAAATCCTGTTCCTTCAGAACAGAATTCTGTCCTTCAATGTTTGATTTAAATGGCAGATTATTTTTTCTGTCCCAAGAAAGAGTTGAGAACCCAGAAGCTCTCTAACAAAGGAATAATCTGAATGCCCAGTTCTGTCCTTGACTTGACTGGAAATTTTAACTTTGTACAAAGCATGTTTTAAATTAGAAGTGTATATGTTAACAAAGGATCTCCAGTTACATACTAGATTTTATTTTTTTTTTTTAATACTCATTACAGAACTGTCAGTTGGTCGTACTGTTAAGTACAGGGGTTTTTTTTTGTCTTTTTGTTTTTTTTTTTCCTGATGTTGAAAGCACCCGCTGAACACACAGCAAGTGTTTTATGCTGTTGTAATTATGTTGAGGGGGGAAAAAAGACTCCTTGAAATAGTCTGGTCACTGTCCTGGAGGTATAGATTATCTTGAAGTATAGTTCTGCCACCCTGTGGCTACTGAAGGTCGTTCTTAGAAGGTGCATGTTTGTTTAGCTACTGGTACTCACAGCCTTTTTCTTTTAAACTTCGTGAATGCTGTTTTGTGGAGAGGGTTGAAGGACTACTGTAGGTCTCAGAGTTTTATAAACTCTCTATGCTTTTATTGAAAGATAGAAATACTCATTCATGGGAAATGCCATTGATTAATCCCATAATGATGTAGCATGTAGACATGTAACTGGTCACCTCAGTTATGCAAGGCTGTCCACTATCCAGCAATCACTTATGCTGTTCTTAGTAATTTTATGTGGGTTTAAGCAGAAAATGTGATCGTTTATGTTTCAGTCACAGTTATAAAATATATAAGTTCATGTAGGCTAATTGACAAGATTGTAGACTGTCTACAGTTCTGTATACTCTTGTCTGGCATAAATACTCCATATGCAGATTTGAAGTGGTTTCAAAAACATGCCCATATATTTTTGACTGTTACTACTCTAGAAAATAATGATTGTTGAGTTCAATAAAAGCACCCTGGTGGCTGTGGCAGTTAAAAATCCAAGGCTTATCTGAGTGAGGCCTTGATGAAGCTGACAGCACACCTCACTCTTGTGTGTCCATTTCAGCGTTCGTTTCTGAAGTTATCAGGAGGAATAGTTATGATCTTGCTAGTTAAATTTTTGTTGCTCTCCCCTATAAAGCATTCTGACCTCATTCAGAGCAGCCTTCCACATTTTGCAACAAACATGTTGAATTTCCCAGAAGAAAAATGCTTAGGTTTAAGTAACAAGGGTTTTTTTGTTGTTGTTTTTTATCCAATAAAAATGCAAATGAAATTCCAAAAGAAAGTTCAATTACAAACTACTTAAATCACCCTGTCCTGTCTTTTCTTCTCTTGAGCTCTACAGGAAAAGTCTTGATAGCATACTTTGGCAAAGTGACTGAAGATTTAGGTTCATGCCAGCAGCAGTGTGCCTTAAAACTAAATGCCAGAGAGCTTTCACACTGTACCTTTATAATGACTGTGGACTCAATGTATGGTCTAGATACCTCACTTTGAGAGTGCTTTGCATATTTGTTGCCCAAGTTTCAGAAAGATGAGAAAGTAAGCTCATAGAACCATATCATAGTTTGGGTTGGAAGAGGCCTTTAAAGATCACCTAGTTCAGTCCCGTACACTGAGCAGGGACATCTTCAACTAGATCAGGATCAAGTTGTAATATTGTTCTCCCAACCATTCCCTAACAATGACACAGGGGTCAGCTGTAAGGAATGGCCACCTCCTTTTGCCAGGTGAGTAATTGGTATTATAGCTTAAATGATAGCAACAGTGAGTGGCTCTGAAAAGCTAAGCTGATAGTGCACAATGGTATGTTATTATAGTTGTATTAAACTGATACTTTTTTCAAATTAAAAATGTTAAATGGTATACACACATCCTGGAGGCAAATGTGTTCTTGAAAGTCATCAAACTCCAAATACTTGGTTTCCAGTAGAACTGCAGACCATTTCCTTTCATGGGTAGTAGTATGCTACTGTATTGAATTATCTGACTGCATGTGGTTTTATCAGTAGAATGCAACAATCTCTTGCTCAAGTGGTAGTGTGGGTAAAATATGCCTTAAGTTATACAGACAACCATAAACCTGGGTGTATGTTTTTTTGTTTTTTTTTTTAAATCTGAATGCCTTTTCAGAAAGTATGTTCTGAATACTGATATATTCAGATACATAGAAGATATAAAGCCACAAAGAGGAGGATATAAAGATGTAAAGATGTGGTTTTGCTTGTACATCCTTTATCCCTGTGGTTTCATTTTATATTTCTGTGGTTTAAGATCTTAATGATTTGTGAAGTCAGATGGTGATTTGGTAGTGATAGACAATAAACTTCATGATTCTACTTGGCTGATGGCCTGAAGATAGTAATGACCTTTCCAGTCTCACAATAAAATAGTTTTGTTAACTGATCAGAAGAGTGTAACAGTTTGATGTTTTTCTTACTGTGTTTTTACTTTATTGATTTTGCTGAATGTTTTCTTGCATTGTTTTGACTGACTCCTGTTTTTCCAAACAAATCCAGACTTTCAATTTTTTACTCCCTTGCTATTGTAATTTGTATTAAATCTATATTTTTTTTTCAGTACTATGAACGCTTTCTGTTGAAAGCCACTGTATTGTACTAGATTAAAAGAGAGACCTGTGGTTGATCTGAGTTACAGTTTCACTGACAACGTTGGGCAGTGGCAGAGTTGTCCTCATAGTTGTGTTCTTGAATGTTTTTGTACAGAATGAGAAAAATCTTTCAGCTCCCAAAGATCTTAACAAAAAAGGGAAAAGTAGCATCTCCCAGGCAAGTGGGAGAAATGTGTTAATATACTCAAAGAGAAAGCTTGCAATCAAACTTTTCTCAGCTGTTTCCAAGTCTTTCCATTTTGACAAATTAATTTAGCAGAGCTCTGGTAAAAAATAGAAGATAATGCTGTCCTTTATTTTCTGTAACTAGTAAGCTTATATAGTCTGCTTTCTGAAGAGACTCGTACTCTGAGAGAAGGTGAAGTACAGCTTGAGAGGATGATTTATTCTGATTTACTAAACACAGGGTACTTTAAAGACAAAACCAGAAGCTCATATGAATAAGGATCTAAACTAGGGCAGAAAATTGCCATGGATAGATCTTAATGGTCTGCATCCATGACCACCCTATGAAGTCATTCTGGAAGGACATGTGTGTTGTGTACTTCTGATAGTTTTTAAGTGTTGCATTTCATTTTTAAATAAAGACCAAATTTAAACCAGATATTTGAAGTTGTCAAAAGAAAAATAACATTTCACAGAGTCCAAATGCTTTGTCTTCAAAACTTTGCTTTTCTACGGAATATGTAATGTCATGCATGTGATCTCTTCAGTTCATTTTTGTACCTACTGCATGTTGTTATTTCTTCCAACTTAAAGTGAAGAAGTGTGGGTTTAAGTGAAATTGTTTGTTAATACTTAAAATACACATTTTGAAAAGGAGTGACTTGAGGGAAGGAAGATAACTAATTGAAGATAACTACTTGAAAATGCAAAATCTCTTTTGAATTCTTTATATATTGAATGTTTCTATTCTTAACAAATTTTTTTCTGTGAATTTTCAGAAGTTTGTCTAATCTAGTTTGGCACACTGCAAATTTAATGAAAGTAATATTGATTCACCATTTTTTGACATAACCTAAGAGTCAGAATTAAGAATATTAATAAATATGTCTAAATGAAATATTGTGAACTGGAAAGATATATTATCTATACTCATAGAAACAAAATAAAAAAGCACATTTAGTGGGAAGTTTTACCAATCAACAGGTTTTAATGGTTACTGACAAGTGAGACCACCTCAGTTTAGGAAGGTAACTAGAAGGTACATACGTGAAATGAGATTAAAATCTTAAATCCTAAGGGTTTGGCTAGTTTGATTGTTAAAACTGATTATTTAAAATAGATTTTTGATAGGCAGTATTGTTTTAAATAATGTGGAAATAGATAAATGAGTGGCTTTTTCAATTCAAAGTAAAAAATTAAAGGAGGAGAAATTAGAGGGCTTTGCACTCACTGGAGGAGTTCATAGGCAGAGTAATCCTCAACTAGTGCAGTGCCATTTTGTGAAGTTTAGTGGTAAATAGAAGATCAGCAGCCTTGTTTGAGATGAACTGAGTGAAAGCCTTCTTGAGTGGTACTAGTGTAAAGGACTCCACGGTTTCCAAACTTTCTCACTGCGTTCTTTAGTTGGAGGTGAATAACACAGATCTTCCCAGGAAGGCAAGCCAGTCTTTCCATCGCTCTGTGAGTAGGTCTGAAGCAGCAGGGGCTGTTGGGGGAAGCCAAGCAATAGTTGCTTCATTCCACTTGAAGACATCCCCAACGGTTCTGGGCAGCCTGCTCTTCTACCTCTCTCCAAATACGGATCATCACAAGAGCAGAGATGTCACAGGTGGTTGAGTGAAGATTTATGTGTAATAGCTGTGTGAGTCTCAGTGAGCAATCTGAAAGATACTTGGCTCAAATTTCGTGTTGCAGCCTTTTATCTTTACATTCATTTCTTTAGGAGGGGGGAAAGGAATCAGTTGCTGTGTAACTTTCTGACTTGCCTTTCAAAGGAGTCTTGATGCTGGCCATGAAGATCTCTTCTGTCTGCAAAAGCATCTTCCAGCATCTCTTGAATATTGTATTAAGCTGGATGCTGGCAAGTGTAGCTGCCTGATTTTCACTTCAGTTTTTCTCAAATTAAAATTCTTGCCAAATTTCTGGGAAGGGCAGAGTCTCACTTCTCTCGCAGCAGCACAGTATGTTACCTGGAACTATGGAGGCAGCCAAGGGGGCAGCAGATGAATGGAAAGAGCAGCCCAGCCCAGGTGGAAGAGGATCCTGCTCTGTGGACTGCTAAAGCAAATGACCAATGGTGAAGTAATCTGTACAGCTCCACTG